AGCGCCATGCCCGCCTGGGTCATCGACCGCTACGGGCGCAACGAGGCGCTGCGCTTCACGAGCGGCATGGCGCTGCCCGCCATCCGCTTCCCCAACGAGGTGGTGATCCGCGTGCACGCCGCCAGCCTCAACCCCATAGACCTGAGCATGAGAAGTAAGTGCCGCCAGCTCCGGCCCCACAGACCTGGGCACGAGGAGTAAGTGCCGCCAGCCCCACACACCTGGGCACGAGGAATAAGGAAACCCGTCGGACGGTGATGGCTGCTGTCCTCTGGACTGCCGTCCAGAATAGGGGCTGTGCGGGAGCTAATTTTTTCACCAAGGTCACTGTGCCCTGCAAGCTTGAGGTCACAGGTCAGCTCCCCTGCTAGCAGCAGGTCTGGTGCCTTTCCTGGCCTTCCTCCCTTCCCCACCACCCTGGTGCTGCCCTCTTGATGCTGAGGGTAGTGCAGAGGCTGGTCCTTCGGAAGAGAAAGGGTTCCCCCCAGCTCAAGGTCTCATCTCAAGCTCAGCCTGCGCAAGCTCGAACCGAGCACCCTGCTCACTGCAGCTTACTGAGGTACCAACTGAGCAGCTGCTGTCTGACAGCCCTGGAAAGCTGTGTGTTTGATTTAAATATGCAAGTACAAAGAATGAGTCAAACTTGTTCTCACCTTCAAGTTTTGAAAAACACTAAGGAAGTTGCAGTCTTCGAAGGGCTTGCATTTCGCTTTGAGAAGTGACATTGTACATCAGTTATACTCAGTAGCCCATCCAGAGATACCTGTAGGAAGCCTGCTGCCAAAACTCTAGTTTGGTTTTTGGGTCTCCAATAAGTTAATTTTAAAATAGCCTTTTAAACTATTTATAGCTGTGGCTTTGATCATGCAGGGTTTCCATATCTGGGATGCTGGGTCACTGCTTGTGTTTTATGTCAGCAAAAGAAGCCATGGTGTCATCCGGCTTTCAGGGTGTCTGCATTTGTGTCTTAACCCACCTTTTAGTGTAATGAGACAAACAGACTTGCTCTAACGTTTGAAAAGCCATATGTGTCTGAATACAGGTTTGTAAGTTGAGCAGAATTCCCATGTGCGTAATCCTAGCATCTAATTATAGCTTCTTCAACAGAAGCTAACGTGTCTCCTCTCAAGATATATTCCTTGATTTTTACGGTGATGTTTATGATGCTGTACTTAGGTTACCTTATATGAAAAAGGTGAATGGAAAGCTTGGAGTTCTTTTGGACTCCTGTGGTTGTGTTAGTCAATGAAGCTTTTCCTACAGGCTTCTTAAAATAAGTTTTACTGCATATTGGAAATTTTTATAGTGAAGAGACATTTTGTGTGGATTCCAATATTTACTAAGTTGTTTTATAGTGGTTTGAGTTCTTACACATAATGTATGCTATATAAGGAAGGAAAAAGAAATAGGATAGAGTTAAAATTTGCTTTTTACTTTTAAAATCTGTAAAAAGATAAAACATTCCACGTTGTTGGCATGCTTAGGTTACTGTAGAAATTAGTATATTAAAAACTAAATACATTGCACATGGACTTGGCTTTCTCATTAAAATTGTCTAGTTACTAAATGAAAACTCTGTAAGACGTGTAATGGTTAATTTCATGTGTTGTAGGTGGTTATGGTGCCACTGCATTAAATATGAAGCGAGATCCCCTGAAACTGAATAGCACAGAGAGTGAATTTCCACTGACGCTTGGCCGAGATGCCTCTGGTGAAGTTATGGAATGTGGACTAAATGTGTCTTATTTCAAACCTGGAGATAAGGTGATAAAACTCATTTCCTTTTCTTTTTCTTTTTCCCTCTTTCTTTCTGGAAGAGTGTAGTTAAAATATAATATGATCTGTTCAGTTTTCATTTCCCTCAAGAATTTTTCTTTTTTTCATGATTTTGCATGCACTATTGAATATCATGTAGAGACTCCTTGGAATTATTTCTTCCCTACTTTCTTTCTCTTTAATAAATTTTTAAAAACCCACTTTTTTTCCAAACTTGCTCCTGCAAGTTGCTTCACTTTTTAATTTTTGGTCCATTTCAGTAGCAGAAAGAGAATAATTTATTTATCTGTAACTATGCAAAGTCAAGATGCTGCTTCATTTTGACTGAAGATTGAATTCTAACAGAAAAGGTGTTGGGGTTTTTTTTATTTGTTTGTTTTTCCCCTTGAGTGAGTTATTTAGTAGTAGAAAGAACTCTAGCATAGCCAGAGAATGAATTCTCAACTTCTTCGTAAATGTTTTGCTTTCAACTTCTTAGCCTCAGTATAGAAAATGTAGCTTCTGTCTCCTCTTAATTTGCCTTTTTAGAGAATATACATACTGTGCACAGTGTGATAGAGCTTACTCATGCCTCTCAATATCGCTTAATTGCTCTTCTCATGCTTTTTGTTTAAAGAGCAAGGTAAACTGATGTCTGCTAAGCAGTAGTAGTAAAGACATTTTGCAAACTGGGATTTTTTTTTTCATAAAAAAAGCTTCTCTTTGTAGATACAATATTATGTAAAGTAGCCAAAAATAATAGTTGTTTTCCCTTTGTTTTTAGGTATGGGCAGCGATTCCTCCATGGAAACAAGGCACTTTGTCAGAGTTTGTTGTAGCTAGTGGAAATGAGGTAAACCTTCAAAAATGTTGTAAGAGACAAAACTAAAATTGTTAAGACTGGCATTATTTTTTTCTTCAATGTCTAAGTAACTGACTTTTTTAATGCTTAAACTGATTTTCTTTATCTTTTACTAATCATGGATAATCAATGTAGTTGAAAGTGTGGAATACATGATCAGAACAAATCAGTAAAGCCTGTTTAAGAATGCTGCTGGTATGTAGGATCTGTGTGGTGACTTGGATACAACTGGTCTTATTTCAGGTGTCTTTTAAGCCCAAGTGTCTTAGTCACACAGAAGCAGCCTCCTTACCCTATGTAGGTCTCACAGCATGGTCTGCAATTAACAAAGTTGGAGGACTGAACAAAGAAAACTGTGCTGGGAAGAGGTAAGTACTGGTGCTAAAGCTTAGTTTTCATTTTTATACTGTTCAGCCGCTTGCAAGACATGTCTTGACAGCAACGAGGACTGTAATAAAATGACCATCACAAAGGCTGGGTGGCCTGAGGTTGCTGGGTTCAGTCTACACAACTACTGAGAGAAGCTGTAAGTGTTCCTAGCAAAGAATTGAAAGATAGTGTTTCTAGGAAATTAGGGTGACTCTACCTTGCTGCAAGCTAAGCCAGTTGTCCAAATCTATCCCCTCTTTGTGTTATTTGGACAACTCACAAAAGTTCTCTCATCCACAGAAATGTGGTTCACTGGTTTGCATGTTCCTGCATGTTCTGGACCCTTTGGATCAGACAGGTCACCCACTTTTAAGGGAAAGGAGGAGATGACTGGGCCTCATTTGGCCTGTGGGCCAGAGCTTTGATGGGATCAGAAAAGGCAAAAGAGAAGGGGAAAACATTTAAGACTAACAGCCAAAGCAAATAGAAAAAGAGGCTTTTTATCAGCTTGTTAACCTGAGAGAGGCAGGTGGAAGGCAAAGGAGGAAAAAGGTACTGAAAAATGGCAGCAGATATCCTGAATTGTGCAAACAGATAGCAAAACGCTCAGAATGCAAAGAAGTCAAAAGTAAAAATACTGAAATTGAAAAATAATCATTAAAACTACTACAATGTATTGGAAATTTAGATCATATAAAAAAAAACTTGGACATTAGGAATCTGATATTGGAAATTTAGATCATATATAAAAAAAAAACTTGGACATTAGGAATCTGCTTGTTCGACTTCTTATCTTGGGTTGATGTTGTAATGCAACACACTGTGAAGGAGAATAGATTATTTGAAAGTCTTCATCCACATCTTTAAAAGATACTTAAGTGAATGCTTGTTGGTGTCTCACAGAAAATTCCATCATGAAATTTAAAGGAAGCAGTTGTTCTAAAGATTAAAAATGTATTTTTGAAAAACGAATTGCAAGACATATTAACTTGCACCTAGTAATAATTTTCTAGATTTGACATTATTTTTTCATTCTTCAGTATTCAAGCTATGTTCTGCTATCTTGTTTTTCCCATATAAATATAATTAACAAAAAGATATGCTAACATGCTGACCTTTTAGAAGTGTCTTTATGATGCTCACGTGTTTAGATTTTTAAAAGTAAAATGTAAATGTTTATTAATGTAAAAACATTTTCATGTACTTAAACTTTTGATGTTTCCTATCTTGAAAGTTCAGGTTTCAAAGAAAATGGCTTATGTGGAGGTGCCTTTTTTTTTTTTAAATCTTGTAGCAAATGAAAAAAAATGTGTTATAGGAAAAGATACAGTTGCCTACATATACATATGTAATTGACTCTGGAAGAGACTGTTTTATGACCCTTACTTTACTCTTCCAAGACAGTAATCTTGTAGAGCAAGAATATACGTAGTGTTTTTTAATTTCTTGAAATAATTTAGCATCTATTTGGTAAGAAGCTACCCACATATGTGATTTTATGTTGGTCTTTTTGTCTCCCGTAGGTGTGTGTATATTATTATGTAGAAGGGTGTATATACCCTTGTCACTTATTTTTGAAAGAGCATCTGTATTCCTTGATGAAAACTACTTCAATGATGCTTTATTGCAGTGTTAAGACATCTTAGAAACAGCAAGATTTTTCCATTGGTGTGTATTGCTTTCTTTGCCTCTTTAAGGTGGAAGGGTGGGCCAGCCAGAAATATTCTCCACAAGTCCAACACCTGACTGTATTCTGTCAGACAAAAATGTCTACTTCATTAGCACATGCTGTCAGATAATGTTTCTGCAAGTTTCATGACCCCATAGTTACCTGAAGTGTCTTCAAGTTGTTCATGATGTCTGCTGCTTGGCTACAGCTCTAGTCATTCCTTAACTTTTGTCCTGTATCGCTGTCACTTATGTCACAAGCAAAAAGTGAATGTTCTTTTTGCTGTTGGATGTGTCTCGGAGGGCTTCTTGTATTTGTGAGGGTCCTCTGTCGGCAAAAGGATGTGCTCTTTGGATGATAAGTGTCTTGGTGGTTGTATTTGCAAAAAGAACGATTAAAAAAACAAGCATTTTGAAAAGATTTTGAAAAGTTCTCATTTTTTTTGCATTAATATTAAGTAGAATCCTTTATCTTTGTATAAAAATATTGAGTGAACAGTTCATCCATTTAAGGATACCAGGAGGAAATATATTAGGATTCTCTTACCGAAAGCTATTACACTTGGTTCATGTTATTACAATGAAAATTTGAATGATATTCAAAGGAAGTATTTTCAAAAGTCTGTGATTTATTTCATCATTTTATCTGTTGAGAAGTGGAAAGTGAATGTAACTTCTTCTTGACACTTCTTGACAAGGTAACATTTCTTGATAAAACAAGAATAAAAATACATTGTTGACGTAATCAAGTGGGATTTGGCAAGTGCCTCTCTTTACCATCAAGCATGTGCTTTATATGTAGCTGAGCCACTGGAAATTGTGCTCTGCAGGCAGCCAGGGCAGGTGCTGTGCAGTGTGGAGGGGGGCAGTATCTCAGGTGAGATACAAGCGTCATAGGGACGAATTGAGTCCCAAGTCATTTGGCCTGGAAGGGAGCAGATTGCTCTGTGATGAGGCTTCCTTTACAGTGTAAATAGAGTTTGTCTCTAAAGCAGAGCTTTCTTCAACTCGCATTATACGTAGAAAACTTTAATCAGAAGAAGTTTTGGCAGAGAGTAGCCCACATAGCATAGGAGCAAAAGGAGTTCGGAGCATATTTCTCCCACAAGAATCTCAAGGCCTTTTATTGCCTAAGGGAAAATAAAAGCAGCCCTAACAAAGCAGCTCCCCAAAACCATAAATGTTACATAAATTGTTGAATAAAATGTCCATTTTCAAATTCCATCTTTCTCCAAAATCTAAGCAAGGAGGAAAATTGGAAAGACCTTTTGATAGGGAATTTCTCACTTTCGTAATAATGGAATGGTTTGGAATTTGTCTTTTTGAAGGAATTTCGTTGTGACTGTGCCTTGTAAGGATAGATGGGCTCAACCCAGTATTGTGAGTGCAGGATTCTGTAGTGCTTTTGGTAGGATAATACTAGATATGAATGTTGCTTTACACATCTTTTGTTAGAAACGTGGTTCTGAGCATAAGTAGATTTTGGCAGAGTGAACAGGCTTTGAGATTTCAAATTTGTAATCTGAATTTTGCCATTTAAATCGATGAAATAGGAGGGAACAGAGCCTCATCAGTTACAAAAGAGGAAACATTTTAAAGTGGATACTGTGACCAAAGCCAAGTCTCTGAAGTTGCTTCAAAGAGTTTTTGTAAACTGAGACACCAGGCTGTACAGTTTTGCACTGTAAAAGCAATTTCCTTCATCATCCAGCACAGTGAGATTTAAAACAGGAACACCACTTGCTTTTGAAGATGCTGAAGTTTTGCTATGCCAAGACTTCATCTTATATATTACTGAAGTTTTGCTGGAAAACTGAAGTTCTGCGAAATGTGATGCTCTGCAGGGCTATGCCAAGACTTCATCTTATATATTCCTTTTTGTCCTAGAATTAGCTAATGGGCCCAAACTTGTTGGATTGTTTGTAGCTTCAGTTGCAGGGCTTTCTTACTACTATCCTTCTTGAAGCTCAGTTATTTAATAAAATATCTGCATGAAATTTAAGAACAGTGGTTGGATGGCTGGAGGTAATGTTCTTCCACCACTAAAATTGTATTTATTTTTATTTTCAGATATTTAATTTGATTGGTAGGTCGTTGTGAGTTGTTTATTTCATGCAGTTGAAAGGAACTCACTAATAGTTTGGTAGTGGACTCCTTTATTTTCTTGTTTATCAGTTCTCACAGTCTGGCATTTTACAGTGTCTTTTTGAAATCTATGAAACTAGCCCTTCTTCTAAAAAAAAAAAAAAAGGGCTACGTTATTTTAATAAAACAGAAACTTATTTATGGTGAGGCTTTTCTTTTGTTTTTTTTTTTAATGTTTTAGATAAATTTAACCCAATATGGGAAAATTACTGTCTTCCATATATTCTATTTAATATATTTTAATTTTCTCTTACAGAGTATTAATATTAGGAGCTTCAGGAGGAGTTGGCACATTTGCTGTACAGGTAATACACTGTGGCATGCCCAATATGTGCCTTCAGATTATTCAACATGAACAAAACTTGACAGAAGGGAACTTAGGGAAAAGATTGTTAAATAGAAAGCTAATGAATAATCTGCCAGAGCTCTGAAAGTAAAATATTTTTAGTTTGTTTCTTCCCATTTTTATGTTTTACTAACCTAAGGTAGGAAGCAGGGAATTTCAAAGAAGGGTGCTGTGAGTGTAGGTAGCAAATACCACATTTTGATGTTTGGGTCCAAGAAATTTGTAGCTTGTGTACCTTGAAATATAAGAGTCTCTTTTCATTGTCTTTCAGTCTCCTTTCAGCTCAAATTCATAAATCTAGAAGGAATGTGGCGTGCAAGCAGAAAATTTGATGGAAAAAGTAGCTGGTTGCAGTTGTAATTTTCCTTCATATATTAATATCTGTAGCTGTTGGTGGTGATCAAAGGATGTAAGATGCACAAGTGTAGTGGGTATAATCTGTAGATTAATTTTCCTTTGCTGTCGTTCCCCCATTGCCCTCCTGTCTTCATTCTGGTACCTCTAAAATTTGGAGAAATAACATGTTCTTTGGTTGATCCATTGATTGTGCAACATCCTCTTTTCATGCCTTCGTTCAATTTGAGAATTACAATGCTAATCAATGTAATCTCTACAACGGCTTTCCCTTCAAAATATGAAAAAATGTACAAGTCAGGTAGTTGCATCTGTTTTCCGTTTTACTACTCTGTAAACGTAATGGTCTTAAGAGGACTACAGGAGAACTTTTTAGTGGTTGTTCTTTGCTTGAGCAGCAATAGAACAGGTGGCTAAACAAGGTCAATAAAAAGGCTGAGCAAGCTACTGGCTGATTGTAATTTCCACATGCAATTAACCTGAGTAAACTAATTAGTGGAGCTTACAAAAGAAAAAAGAAATAAAGAAATAAGTAGCAAGAAATCATTAGTTTGCTGTAGCTTTGTGTGCTAAAAGATAACCGGACAATCCTCCCTAAAGTAAATCAGAGATTATCCTTTTTTTTTAAAAAAAAAATTATTTGATTAATAAATAAGTTATTTACAGTGATATACTTAGTGAGCTGATAAGGGTTAAAAATATTTTAATCCCTGGAGTCATTAAATCTAGAGAGTTTTCCAACTTTCTAAATAAAATGAAATTTTAGCTTTTTTAGGTGAGTTAGTAATTTTTAAATCTTGGATTCTTTTTTTTTTTAAAAAAAAAATTCTTCTTACTTTTAGCTAGTGAAGGCCTGGGGTGCTCATGTGACAGCAGTTTGTTCTAATGATGCCAGCCCGCTGGTGAAAAAGCTTGGAGCAGATGATGTGATTGATTACAGATCTGGAAATTTGGAAGAACAACTTAAAGCATTACCTTTGTAAGTGTTTGTGTTGTTTAATACTGAGATGAAGGAGCTGGCAGTCAGTCCTTTTGGCTTTTGATTGCTTGACTCCAATCAGACTCTTTGTTTTCTGTTTTTCCTCTTTTTAAAGCTTTACTTTCTAAAGCAAGTTCATCCAAGCACCTCTTGACTGTAATTTGCCTACTGAGTATCCCAAGCACAATTTCATTGAAAGATTAGTCAGTTAATTAGTTTTGCAGAGTCAGGCTTGAACTTTTACATGTTCTTCAATGACCACAATTTGCAGAGCTCTGTCAGCCTCCATCCAAGGATCTTAAAAGTCATTGTAAAGCATGAATTAATTAAAATAAATTTGAGGACTCCTATGTGGGCTTAGTAAAATATGTCCTTTAGAAGGAAGAACTGTGTCCTGAAGCAGTTAAGTGGCTTGCCCAAAGTCCTTTAGCTAGTGTGCAACAGAGCTGGGAGTGAATTTCTCTTCTGTGACACTGAGTACAGCTGTCTCTGATCAATAACCATATTTATCTGGTCATAGTAGTTAGGTTTAAAGTAGTGTGGTGACTCTGCAATGCAAATTCCTTTTGCTTCTGTGCACTTTCTGTATGTTTAAACTTGGCTGGTGTGACTAGCATTCGTATATCACATTTATTTTTACTTTTTTAGGTAGATTGAGCTAGCTTTCTGCGAGATGGAAAAGACACTGTTCGATTAATAACAGAGTCTTTGTGATGCTGTGCTAGGCAGACGTGCCCTTCACTCCCGCGTGGCTGTTAGCTGACCTGAGATCAATGCGAGGGTATTGGCTGGGGCTATGTGGGCAGGCAGTGCAGCAATTAACTTACTGAGCTGCAATCAGTGCTAACCTTGCCCTTGTGCTAACTGGGAAACTGTGTACAGGGAGGCTGGGGTTGACTCACAAGTCTTCCGATTTTATTTCTACTTTGTTGTAGGCAGATTAATGCAGTGCAGTGACAAATAGAAATGCAAGATCTAGTTCTAGAGTACATTAGCTTAATGAATCTCTGTTTTTCTCATAAAGTGATTTTAAGCCTGTTCTTTACATGTCTGCAGGTTTGATTTCATCCTAGATAATGTTGGTGGATCCACCGAGAAGTGGGCTCTGGACCTCCTGAGGAAATGGTCAGGAGCAACATATGTCACCTTAGTAACACCCTTCTTAATCAATATGGACAGGCTCGGCGTGGCTGATGGCATGTTACGCACAGGAGTCACTATTGGTTCCAAAACTGTAAAGGTATTTCACAAAATCCTGTATACTTTACTTTTCTGCCATACCCTCGTGGACTCTTTTATGGCTTGGATGCTAGTCATGTCATCTAGAGGCTTCTGTCTTATTTATCTCATACATTGTTAAGCATACCTCACATGCATTTTTATCCTTTCCTTCTTTCTTGAGGAGAAAAAAAAAGTTATTGGGGTGGTGATGATTAGTATATGTGGAAGTTTTGGTAGGCATGTTTTGAAGTTTTGATTCCTCATTGTGTTTTCATTGTGGCCTTTCCCATGTCATCCTTGTGAGTCCTGCTGGCAGCAGTTAGCAGAGCAAATCCTTGCCTCATTGAAGTCAGGGTCATTTTGCTACTTGCTTCAGGCTGATCAGGGTTTCTTTCAAAACACTGTTCCGTGGCTGATTCTCTTTATCCTATTCCAGCACCACAGAGTAATAAAAGTGGTGGAGGGTGGCAAAAAAATCTTTCATTTCTTTCATGTTCATGTGTCTGGATGGCCGTACTTATTTTTTTTCTAATTCTCCTAAGTGGATTTTTGAAATGTTCTCCCAGTAGCTAGAGCAGTGAGGCTTTTTAGAACTTTTCTCTGTCTTCCATCAACACGTGTGCTTGCTCTCCAGGAGCACAGAATCGCAGAATGGCTGAGGTTGGAAGGGACTTCTAAAGATCATCTAGTCCAACCCCTCTGCTCCAGCAGGGACACGCAGAGCACGTGGCACAGGGTGGCATCCAGGCAGGTTTGGAAGATCTCCAGAGAAGGAGACTCCACAGCCTCTCTGGGCAGCCTGTTCCAGGGCTCTGTCACCCTTACAGGAAAGAAGTTCCTCCTCACATGGAGATGGAAATTCCTGTGTTTTAATTTGTACCCATTACCCCTTGTCCTGTCACTGGCCACCAGTGAGAAGAGTTTGGCGCCATCCTCCCTACGTTCTCCCGTCAGGTACATATTGATCAGACATGTGCCAAGATATTTCTGTGATGGCATGGCTAAGTGTGAGGGGTAAGGCCCACACCACTGTTTTCAAATGTAAGTGCAAAAATGAAGAAAAGCCTGAAAATAAATTGTGTAACTATTTCTCAGCTTGAGCGTTTGCGTGCTTCCATGATGAGAAGCATGGTATGCCAGGTAATAAATATCAGTTGTGCCTGAAAAATCAAGACTCTTATTCCTCTAATGACTTCCTCAGAGGAAGCGCTCTCACCTTTTGCTGGTGAGATCTTCCTAAAATGCTTTTCACGTGAGCTTACATCAGATGGTAGCGACTGGCAAATGTGGTAGTGGAAAACCTAATCACTGACACACAGGTGGAAAGTTCTGAATGTCACATTGCTGGGTTTATTCAGGCTCTCTGCAGAAGTGTAGAAGTGTATGGCTTTGCACCGTTTCTCTCTTACGTAAGAAACGGCGCTCTTTCTAGCTGCAGGGACATGGTCGTTGTTTTTCTCAGCTAGCTGACCTGTGCAATTAGGCACAAAACTCACCCTGATCCTATTGTGGAAATACAACACCCGTCTGTACATTTAATCCACATGCTTAGGTGATATTTTTGGGGGGATGCTAGTGAATAATTTCCATGTTTTTTTTGCTTAAATACTTCTCTGGTGTTTCTGTCATTACTTTTAGTTCCCATTTTAGTTTCCTCTCGTAACTTTTAAATATATTTGCAATCTCTTTCTTGCAGCATCTATGCAAAGGAGTCCATTATCGGTGGGCGTTTTTTATGCCAAGTGGCCCATATTTGGATGAAATAGCAGAACTGGTTGAGTCTGGAAAGGTATGTCAGTAATGGGTACTAGAAGTTTTGTGCTGAAAGATGTGCTGCTTTGACTTGGAAAAAGTTGTAATTCACAATGAAGAAATAAAATGTTATGAGATTGATGATAAGGAAAAAAGAGTTCAGAGTTGGCTTGCTCCACTTCTGTCATTTCCCTGTTAAGTTTTGGCTTTTCATGTAGAGTTTAGGGGCTGGTAGTCCATAAAGCCTTTCTGCCTTCTCTGTCTCTACCCTACTTCTGTTTTAAAACCATGCTAAATTATGAGGAAAATAATGTCTGGAGCTTGTTTTTTTTGTACCGATGGGAATCATTTAGCACTGCTCATGGTGTTTTTTAGAGGTTTTGTGCAATTCATTTGTTCAGAGTGAACATGGCTGTATGTTCTTGCATATGCAAAATTCCCTAGCCTCGCTGATCAAGAGGCCTGTGCATAATGCACCCAGGAGGAGGAAATTCAGGTTACTGCAGGTCACAGATCTGGGTTGGCAGGGTGATGGAGAGAGACTTGCATTTCGTTATTTCACTGTTTGGGAGTATAACGTTTGTGCTAATTTAGCAAATATCAGTGACTTGAAATATTGTGGATGCTCATAAGCTTTTTGGGAAGCTCTAAGTAGTGGACTTTGGGGGATAGTCATGAAGCAGCGAGGGTGTTAACCACCTTTCTGATCTCTTCAGGTTTGAGCTTGTTATAAAATGTCTGAGAGAGTGTGCAATGGGATGCTTACTAAGTGGAGTATGTGGTGCTGTGGGTCCTGTCTGTGCTCTTTCAGAAGACTTCATATTGTCAAAATCCCCAGAGCAGAGAATATGGGCAACTGCAGTTAGTCTTTGTCCTGCCGAAGCAGAGGAAGAAGCAGAGTTTGCCATTGTTTCACAGTTTGGAAAAAAGTTTAGAAAAAAAAAAATCTGCCATGCTTAAGGTCTACTTACTTGTTTCTTTGTTGTACCTCCTGAGTACTGTTGACCAGAGTAGATTTCTTTCCAAATCAGCCAGGTCTCCCCTGTGCTGTCCCCTTACTGCTGCTGACGTGAGCAACGCAAAGTCTGTGCTTCCCCAGAAGTTACCTGCTCATGAAGAGAGACTGTAGCCCAAATAAGCTGTGGTGAAGAGTGTTCCCGCCTGCGGTTGTACACCACTGTGATGGCCAGGGCTTCAGGCACTTCCTGTGGGCAAGAAAGAAATCCTAGAAAATGTTTCTTGTCCTGCGATCGCATCCAGTGGCACTTTATGAAATTACAGTTGACTAAGGAACAGAAATGTCCTTGTCTTCGTGGTTACCATTTGTCCTGATTCAAGCCTGGCACAGCTTGTTTTGTGTTCTGCTCTTGCTTTGTATGCAAAACAGAAATGCAGAATATGCCCATGAAAGCTTCTTGGGAAACATCTGTTTATGCAATAGAGATAGAGGCTAATGGGTATTCATCTGCCCAGTAATCTGGACAGGTGAATTCTAATGCCATTTAAAATGTACGTCATACATAAATGAACGTCCTGATGTGCCTTGTGTTGTAAGATGATCATGAGGATAAAGATGTTTGCTTAGGCTGTTACTCTGTGTCTGCAAAAACAGGTTATAATGTCAGACTGTTGATCTGCATAGTCATTATTCTAGCAGTATTTCACACTATTCTGTAAAATGCTATAAACACCCGTGCTCTCAGAAGTACTGTGTAAGACCCAGATGTGACCCATAATAGAGTATTACTTTTATGGTTCAGGCATAGATGTGCTCTTAACTGCACGGATCCTGTGTTCAGAAGAAGGGGATATTTGGAAAAAGGACAACTGGAGGAGGTCCATCATTATTTTCCATAAGTGAAGAATAATTATCGGTGCTTAGAGTATAATAAAGGAAATTTAAAAAAAAAAAAAAAAAAAAAGCCAAAAAACAGGGAGTGATGCCAGGAGACTTGGGGAGAGTAACAAAGTGTGCTCATGTGATTCAACTCCTTACTAGTTCACTGAATACAGTTTTGAGGAACTCAGATTCAGTTATGTTAAAATTTCAGTGAATTGTGTGCTCTTCTTTTACAGACATCTTAGGTTATGAGAGATGCGAATATGAGAAAAATTGGGGAGCTCCTGAAACTGTGAGAGGTTTTTTTCAGGAAAGCCATGGGTGGGGATTCTCAGCTGTGATCAGTGGAACTTGCTTTAAATGAGGGTAATTAAAAAGAGCTAATGGTTTGAAGAGATGCTGTTGTATAAAGTGAAGCTTTGAAGAGCATGCCTATGAAGCAGATACGGGTTACATTGATTTTTCTTAGTTTTTCTTCTTCCAGTCCTTTTTTTGTAAATGCAGATCTCTGCTTCTAGTGTGTTCCAAAATCTTTCTTTGCAAAAAAACAAAAGGGCATTTTGTTTAAAGATGCTTGGTTTTCCTACAGATGAGCTTTGCAGCAAGAAAATTTATCGTTTTTTTGTTCTTGTTTTTTTGTTTGTTTGTTTTAAGCAAATGTGTTTTTAAGCAGAACAGTCCCTTTTAATGGGAAGAAGGAGAAAGAGACTTGAGGAGCTGGTATGGCAAGGAAGGAGAATCATTTCCCTTTTTGTAGTTTCCTGCAATTCACACACACAATTCTGGGGACCATAAAGACAGTGCTGTTTTCCCCCCATGAGCTGCTTTATCTATCTTGCCATTGAGTGTCTTGCTGAAAGATTACTGTAAGATTGCAGGGCTGAGAGTCTGCTGGAACAGCAGTGGGAAAGGAGAAAAACGCTTCCCAGTCACATCTTAGATACACGGGTTACTTTCCAATACCTCTGTCCCTGCCACAAGTTGCCTCTGCCAGTTAGTTATTAATCTCTAAGGTTTGGCTTAACTTGGGCTCCATCAAATGGGCTGATGAAGTGTGTGACAGAAGCTGGGGATCCCTTTCCATGGCAGAACATCCCTTAGGAATGATAAGGGTCTCATCTAAAGACAAGTACAATCAGTAGGGCCTTTGATTCAGGACAGAAACTTGTGGCAGACTGTTGGCTGAAGGAGCATCGCTGGTCTCTGCTCACGGGTTCAGCCAAGAGGCTCCTCAGACACTAGTCTGGTGTACTTGTGGACCTAAAATTGATGGTCTTGGTTATTCGCTGCTTGCTTACTGTTTGCACTGCAGTTTCCTACTGTGTCCTTGGTGGAAAATCTACCAAGTTCATCTATGCTGCCCAGGTTTGTAGAAAGCTTCTGACTGGTGGTTGAGCGCTTTGCCTATTGGAAAGGCTAGGGGAGGAAGGCAGCTAAAGAGAGTTGTTAGTGCAGGAAAGGGGAGCTCCAGGTTTGTCCTACTTTTCTGCTGTGTTGGGTATGGATTAAGGTGCAGCCCAGCAGAAGTTTGAAATTCTCATTTTAATTTGGAGCATTTTAAATGTGTCGTAAGCATGTGTGTGCAGTGTTGCTGCTGGGTTGTTCTGTCTGCTTGATAGCAAAGGCTAAAAAGTGGAGTCTGTGGTCATGAAATGAAGGAATGATTCTCCCTGTTGTGTTTCCTTTCTAGGTAAATGTTACAGTACACGTGTAAGAGAAACAATTGCATGCCTAGAATCATTATGGTTGAAAAAAACCTTCAAGATCAAGTCCAACCCTAAGCCCTTCAACACCAAGTCTGTTAAACCATGTCTCTAAGCATCTCATCTACTGAACCCTGCCAGGGACGGGGGCTCCATGACGTGTGTTCATTAATGAATTTGTTTGTAGTAACAGCTCTAGTTTTTGTTGAGGACAGTAGATGCTTTGGACTCTATTTGGTCTGCTTTTGTGGGTTGGAGGACAGGATGTGCTGGCTGTTCCTTGGCTCTGCTGCCATCTTCCTGTATGGACAATACTTTTTTGCACTCGGATTTCTGTATTTGCTAGTGGAGGCTAATGCCATCTATCCATCTTCGGATTATGTTCTCTGAGATTTCCTGCTAAAATGCAGAATGTAGCTGTTTTCTGTTGCTAGTCTTTACTATTCAGAAAGCAATTACAAAAATGAATATGGCCATCAACTTTGACATCACTTAGGACTTCAGTTGTTTGGATGGCCCTGATTTAAACTGACCTACCTTGTTTTGCCAGCATAGTCTATTGCAGCTTCTTGACTGTGTACTCTGACCTGTGCGTACTGACTTGCTTTTCCCTTACCTTATTACAGGGAGCATTTTCCTTCACCTTCCGTGTCCTATTGTTGCCAATTTTTCTCTTGCGTAGTATGAATGTCAAACAGTTAATGTATCATTGAGTCCATGAATATTCTGCAAATCTGCCATCCGTAGATGTGGCCCTCCCTGCAGAAAATCCAGATTTGCAGAAATTCTAGACTTAGATGTCTGAATTGATTAAAGATCAGTCATGCTCCCTACTCCATTTAGTCCATTGCTGGTTGAGATGGCTGTACTTTTCACATGAAAATGAAAAGCTTGTATCCTTTTCTTGTATATGTGTATATATATATATTTATATATTCAATTTTGTGCTTTCTTATTGCAGTGCTTTTGCTTGCCAGGTTTGTTGGCTAGAGCCCAGAGATGTTGATCAAGGAGAGGCTGCCAGAGAGACTGTTCAGTCCTCTCTCTTCTAAAAGGAGCCTCTATCTGCATCTCATTATGGCCACCAAAAAAAACATATTGTGATTTTTATTAAAACACATCTGCTCCTGTTCTCTGAAATGATGTAGCTTGCTCATGATCTTAATGAAAGTGCTGTGTGATTACATTATAAACTGCCTGTAAAGAAGACTAATGGAAACCTTGCATGCTGTGGAGAGATAGGGTTTGGTTTGAATATGTAAGCTCCCATAAACCACAATGAGGTCTGGAAAAAATTGAGCAGATACCAGGTACTTAATCAAATGCATTGCTTCAGGTTGATGTTACTGCATATTCTGTGGGAAGCGAGTGCTACTGGCCTGGGCTGCAGTCTCCTGGTGGAAGCGGGAGGTACCTGCAAGCAGTAACAGCACCAGAGCGGGGTGTGGAATGGTTCAGTTTGCTGAGACCTGGCCAGGAGACACAGGTTATGCAGGAAACTTTTTATTAGGAGGGAAAATATCGGTAAGATTAGGAAGAAGGAAAACATACGTATGGAGCATAACTCCTAAAGATGGTTCTGTCTTGGTTTTATGGTGGTGCTGCCCTTGTTTGCCTAAGGAGCAGGAGAGCTGCCATGAGTGCAGCTCCTGCAGGATTCTAGCAGGGATGGATGCTCTCTCTTCTGGTTAGCAGGATTTTTTAGCATGGTTCGGCAGGTAACCAAATCCAGAACTTCCCTCTGCGCTTCTGTTGGCGTAATCTTGACTACCTGGTATACACTACGCTTCTGGGCTGGTCCCAGTTTCTTGTTGCTCTTCACTGCACTGTTGATGCTGCTTTGCCAGGGACAATTAAGTAAGTAGGGAATTTTAACCTCTGTGCCCTCTGAACCACAGTGTAGAGAGGGACTTCCCTTTACCTAAGTCTTCCATGAGCATCGACTCTAAAACCTATTGATGGCCACATGCTTTTGTGTATTATTTGATGGGAAAGGAAGGATGAAGAAGAGGTGGGATTAAGACCCAAGGAATGTCGGATTTGAATGCAGCAGGAAAGGAGCTGCTCAGCTAAAGAGAAAAGCACCAGGAATAGCAGTGTCCCAAAGGTGAACATTTTTTCCATGCGATCACTGTAAAGTGCTGTACAAATAGCTAAATGGAGGAGAGTCCTTAGCTTTTACTTGGCTAGCCAAGTAAATGTCAGGTTTGTGTTTTCCATGTAAAAAGGCCTCGGAAGGATTTCGAGCTCTGCTGGAGCCCTGTGAGCAGGGAAGAGCCAGCGCCCGGCCTTGCCCTGGGCGCAGGGGCTGCCCTGGTCCTGCCCGGGCCCCCGTGCGTGTGGCCTGCGCGGGCGCCTCATCATGGAGGACGCCGGGGCCCTGAGTCGCCTCCCGCCACAGGGAGCCGCTCCAGAGCTGCTGGAGCCGCCTGCTCCTACGAGGGGCGTCTTGGTTCCCCTCGTGTTTTTTCCCTGCTTTCCTTTCCTAATAAAATCACACCAGGACTTTGCTAGCCCAGGAGGGGAAGCCTCCCGAGAGGGAGGGCTTGAACTGGGCAGCAGGGCACGTTCCGGCTGGC